TAATATGTAAAAATTTTAATTTTTCTATGCCCTCTAACTTTATCCATAACCACGGATTTCTGATTAGGGTAAAATTAAAAAAAATTAATTAAAAATTATCCACTGAAAAATTGTTGTCGTAGTCTCCGTTCAATTGTCAATCTATTGAAAGAGCTATCCAAAATCGGGTTTGAAATAGATAATATTCCATCAAAATCCGAAATTCAGATATAATTTATAAAGGACACATACAATTTTATATTTTGCGTACTGACCCATTTTTAGGGTTTCTCAGACATTAACCTGACAATGGGTCTTCTGGCTTCTTATTGCGTTATAATCATTTTTGCAGAAATGTTTTCAATATCATAGAATTTTTCAACATCGGTTGCAAAATTTTCCTACTATTCTCCCAGGTCTTGTAGAGTAAACTACGTCTACGCAAAAACTGTTCGCTATAGGCCCTCCATTCAAGGAATATTGATAGTCTTAGCAGATTGGGTAGGCTATCTCCCAACGAAAAATATCAGTATTGACGTTAGTTTCGGGGAAAGTCTGCTATAAGAGTACTCCCATATTATTCGGTATTTTGGTCACATTTTATATAAATACTTGTATACGCCAAAACTGTGCCTCATCGAAATATTGGTTTTTGACCCCATATTTCTTTGGACAAAATCCGTTTCAGACATTTTGGAGTGGATATATACATGTCTATCCGTCTGTCTGACCGGCTGGTGCGTACGATAACTCTCAAAGGGAGTAACCGATTTCATCCAAACTTTGCACATCGTAATATTTCTGCAAAACTCAGTTCATGTTCGAAAATGAGGAATATCGGTCCACTCCTTCTGGTACCTCCCCCACAAAATGGTAAAAAGCATCCGTTTTAAACCAACTTTTGTATAACCTATTATATAAGCCTAAATCAAGTCCGAAGATGTGACCCATTGGTCTACTCCTTCTGGCACCTCCCCCACGAATTGTCAACATTTTCAATATTTATAATTCTTCATTCAGAAAAAGTAGAAAGTTTACAGTAATGCGGTCTTTCGTTCAGATCAACTCAACTCTTCTGGTTAAAAAGACCACATAATACCCGGACGGAACCGACCATATGATACCCTGCAAAACTACCACGGATTACCTTCCCCGTGGTGTTGTAATGTCCCGTCACATTAGAGTGACCAGAAAAAGAGACACAAAAAGTTTTTCCACATTTCATCCTCGAACCTCTAGATGTCGTCCTAGACCATAACCCGAACTAAATGTAAAACTTCATTTCTGCTCTATAGCGGAGAATGGTAATACTATAGGAGGTGATGCAAATGTGGTATACCCATTTGTTTTTAGATTGCCAAATTTTTATTTTTTATCCGATTAAATTGAAATTTTACACTTAACAAGCTACATGTGTTGTACTTGGTATCAATTTAAAGGTCAACCACTTATCTCGGATATACCATCAACATCTCGAGTATATGTCCTTCGGGAATAAATGTATACGCCATAGTATAAAATTTTTGTCAATTTTCACACAAAAGTCTGGGTCCATTTGACCACCTAAATATTAACCGATAGGCCAGCCGCCATCCTCCGTATAAAATTTGGTAATGTTCGGACCATAATTGTGGCCTCTAGAGCCACCAGAAAAACAGAAAAAAATAAATTTTTTGGTCCATTAATATTAACCGATCATTGCCGATCATGGCGATTGGTCTATAACTGTGGCCTGTATCGTGTTTTGAAATTATAATGGACAGCCGGATGGACGTACACACATAGCTAGATCGTCTCAGCTAATGGAGATATACAAAAAGGTGGGTCTAGGACCAATATTTCGCAGCATTACAAACTCTTGGGGCCATACAAAGCTATAATACCATCACAACATAGTTGTGTGGTTATTTAACATTACAAAATACTGGTGTCAAAAAATTCATGAACGCATTAAACACTGTTTGTATTTACATTCACATACATTATATTATTATAACATAAATTTTTATCAAAATTAGGGTCAATCCAAACAAAGTCATTCTCCCGCTGTTTCTTTAAATTTTCACACAATCTTCAAAATTTATCGACCTCATTTGTATTCAAACATTTTATTTAAAGGTCACCGAATCACTTCATGGCACTGTTCACCGTTCACCTTCCATTTTTTTTTTTTTTTTTTTTTTTTGCAAAATTGTTGTTACTGCGACGGATATTGCCGCCGCTAATACTGATGTCACACTCTGTTACTCTAATGACATAATTTATAGTAAATGTCAAAATTTATGTCTTTTGTCGCCTATACGGCAAATGTTAACTCCCCTACTCCCATCCCCCCTTTTTCATTTTCGCCAGAAACAAATGGAACGCAATGAACATCATTTCTGTGGGCGTAAAAAGTTGGCAGAGTGATATAGAAACGATTGTGTCGACCAGAGATGAGTAATGCAAAATGTTACCATCATTATATGTTTAATGGAAGCATAACGAAAGATCTATATCGCCAACATTCAGGGACAATGATAAATTTGTATTCTGGCAAAAGAGAAAGCAAAGGAACGCACGAATAGTGTGACAGAGTGACCACCAGAACAAATGTAAAGATAATATCTCTCTCTTTTTGCCAGTTTAATGATGGTGAAAGTCATTGTGGATGGGAAGTTAATTTTAAAAATCTTAAAAAAATAAATATTTTAAAAATGAAAAAAAATTCGATTTGAAAGTCTAATATATTGAACATCTAAACCTCAATATAATGCAAATAGAAGCATTTTCTAATAGTTATACAACGAAAATGAATTTGACAAAGCCTACAATTTGGTTAGGGTCTATTTTGGAGAAGAAGACTAGACAAACTGTTTATGTCTTCTGCTGATCAGCGATGGACATTTGCAGAGGATGTGCTCAATTGTTTCCAGCTCTTCTTCGTCCTCACATAGACGACAGTAATCCTCTCCACTGGAGTCCCACATAGAAGTGAGAGATCTAATTTTGCAGTGACCAGTTATAATCCCCACAACGATTTTGATCTCCCTCTTACTGTGTTCCAGCAGGGAAGACGTTCTTTTACGAGAGAATTCAGGCCAGATAGATTTAGAGATTCTGCAAGCAGGTTTCCTTAGCCGACTACCTCGCAACGGTCCCGTAATGTCGGCATTAAGTACTTTTACTATCTCGGCCGCTTTCGTGATTGCGAGAATCTCTGCTTGAAAAACGCTACAGTCATTGTTGAGTTTATATGAGTTCTGTATATATATATATATATATATATATATATATCTTGGACCCGTCTGTGAAGATTGACAGACCTGGCAGAGGTAGGGAGCCACTAGTCCAGGATTCCCTACTAGGAAATTCAACTTTAATGCCATTGAAGTCCCTATTGGGGGGAATATAATCACTGATATGACTATCCCTCCTAAAGAGATCATAACCTGGCGTTATGTTTAGGATGCTGGCATGACCATAGTTCAGCGATTTCAAGGCTTCTGTTTCCCGGAATCTCAGGGTACACCTGGCCGCCTGGAATTTGATCAGAATATCCAATGGTTGGAGATTCAAGATTGCGTTCAAGGCTGCCTGTAGTGTACTTCTTAATGCTCCGGTGATCACAATGAAAGCCGATCGCTGTACTAAGCTCAGTTTTGTCAGCAGCATCTTTTTGTTCACCCCCTGCCACCAGACAAGACAACCATAAGTAAGTATGGGTAAGACGATCGTCGTATACAGCCAGTGTATAATTCCAGGTCTCAATCCCCAACTCTTGCCTATGGAATTCTTGCATGAATAGAGTGCCAGCAATCCCTTCTTGGAGCGTTCCTCAACATTCCTATTCCACAGTAACTTGCGGTCTAGGATAGTGACAAGATATTTAGCTTCATCAGAAAGGGTTAAAGTCACTCCTCCAAGTGATGGCAGACGGAAACTAGGAATTTTATGATTCCTAGTGAAGAGCACCAATTCGATTTTAGTTTACACTAAGACCTTTGATGCAAGCCCAATTAGACAAGGTTGAAAGGGCCTCCTCCAGGATGTCTGATATTGTCGTTATAAACTTACCCCCAACCAGCAAGACTACATCATCGGCATAGGCTACCGCCTTTATCCTGAGATGATTCAATTTCATAAGTATCTCATTTATCACCAGAACCCACAAAAGGGGGGAAAGTACTCCTCCCTGAGGTGTGCCTCTGTTGACAGATTTCCTCACGGAACTCTCTCCTAAGGATGAGTGGATAATTCTGCTTTCCAGCATTCTATCAATCCATTGTGGGGATACATATGCCTACGAGAGCAGAATGGATAGCTTCACATTGTTGAAAGCTTCTTCGATATCGAGGAATGCTGCCAACGTGTAGCCAGAGGACTCGACGTTCTTCTCGATGCATCCAACCACCTCATGTAGAGCTGTATCCACTGATCTTCCTTTGATGTAGGCATGCTGGGAGAAATGGAACAGGACGAAATTAATTAATTGAAATGTTTGAAACTAAATATTCACATTCTCTTATATAGGACTTAAATATTACAACAAACGAAATTTAAATATTACAACAAAAACCTGTAGAAAAGGACCAAAGTCGAACTGGTTTTTCTACGAAAATACTTACTCTAGAATTTTTTTCAAATTTAAATACAAAATATTTAATATATTAATTATTAAATATGAATTTAGTCCCCTTACAATTTTATTCCCATAATACAAACCTCCCACACGAACATTAATTGCTAACAAAAATGTTAATGAAAAATATTTTCACATTCTTTGTGGCTTCAGTCAATATAATCGATGATAGCCCTAGGCATATCTCCACAACTATGCAAAGCATTTGAGGCCTTTAATTTTAATTAAAAAACATTGTAACCAAACAAAAAAATAAACGATTTACCAACATTGTCAGCAATTAAATTAAATTTATAACACTCTTTTTTTAAACTCTCCACCACCACCGCAATTGCTAATTTTACTCATCATCTTTTTCCCCCTCGTTTTTTATTGTTATTGCAGTTAATTGACAACAATAATGGTCAGCACAACATTGACAACAATTGCTGCTGCTCCGGGACAAACAACAAGTGGCATTAACAATTTGCATTCAACAACAGCAACAGCAACCTCCGGTGGTGCATCACCCGAAAGACGTTATCACAACAATACAAATAACGCTGCCAGCAGTGAGGCCACAAATCGTTCGATATATTATCAGACTAATAGTAGAGCAACGACGTCCGGCAATACCAATACAACAACAAACTCCTCGCCCAACAACAAAGCCAACTTACGTTCATATTATTACAGCAGCAACAGTAATCGCCTAAATGTCAATAATGATGGTGGCTATAGCAAATTGAATGGCAACGATAGCGACAGTGCAACGGAACAATCCCACAACCACAACCTAGCATTCTATCAGAGAGAACAACAACAACAGCAGCATCATCAGAAATATTTGTCGAACGGTAAGGTGAATGGTGAAACCACAAAAGCCGAAACAGCCAATACCAACACCAACACAACCACAACATTAGACTTGTCACAAGCTTTGGTTAGCTCCTCACCACCGATAAGTGATCAAATTTCACTGCTCTTCCCCAAGTGTAGACCAAAGTCATCGTCGTCATCGGCGGCGGTTAGTCAGCACCAGTCCCCGGGCTCATCGCTGGAACAGTCGACAATAGATGCTAATTCGAATTGCAACAAAGACGATCAATTGAATAATTCATCATCGACGGCAGGTTCGAAAGGCCAGAATCGCTATACCACCAACAACAAAGTTGGCTACAACAACGGCAACAACAAAACTGAAGCGAGTGACAACAACAAAGAGAAGTCTACGAACAGTCATTATTATCGCAGTGTGAATATCATTACCCAGTCACCACCACCGCATAGTGCTTCGTCGTTATCGTCCGAATCTTTGTCATCGGTGACACCAAGAATCTCCACAAATCCATTTCTCTGCAATCAATTGTTGACACCCGAAGAGGTGGACGAGCCACATCGTGATCTCAGCGAGGACGGGAACAAATCACGCCGCGATAATACCCACAACGAAGACGACGAGTTACCCGTGCCTATTACCGCACCATTTTACTATCACACCAACACAAGTCCCAAGACCAAAACTCCACGGGAGAAGACTCAACGCCAGCATAACGACACAGAGATACGCGAAATGCCACGAAAACGCTCACAATATGAGCGGTATCATCACATGAATGGTCAAAATTATCCCAATGAGAAGCCGTATAATCATGGGATGTCCACAGCGGATTCTAACCCGCAAAATGCACAACAAAATGGCCATCCAAATCAAAATCCATTTGTAAAGGACAACTACTGGGAGAATTCAAGACAAACAACTACAACAACGGCGACTAATAGTAACACCACACCCACAAGTACGGTATTAAATTCACCCGAATATGGCGGGGGCGGCAATGGCCTACCGGAAATGGAACATTCCCAACGTTCCCAACATCGTCGTTCCATGTATCAACAAGACCAGTCGGGACAAGGGCAGGGTCAGACCACGCAACAGCAACAACAACATTCAAACCAAACTCAATCCTCAGCCTACATGAACGCCAGACAACACATACGTCTGGGACGTAGCCCCAACAGCGAGTCGACATATTCGGAAACGACACAAAAACGCAACAGCTACAATTCGGCACAAAATCAGAATTCTCTCGGACATCAAAATGCCGGTCAGAAGTCGTATGCAAATTCTGAAACTGGTGGCCTCAAAACACTTGCCCAACATTACTTGTATGGCAGCAAAACATCACTGCAGGATCATGATTCCTCACACCGGGAATGGCCGGAGAAACGTGAATCACATGAACGTTCTACGGTGTTGATGCGTGAACGGGAACGAGAACAGCGTGAACAACGTAGCAAAACTGAACGTTATATAAATGCCGCTTTGGTCCGTGAATCGGTGGGTGAACCAAATTCTCCAGCAACGCTCGAGTTACGCGAACGTCGTGAACGTGATCGTCAATCGTATCCTCAGTCGCAGTCACAAATGCAAAAATATCAGCAGCAACAACAACAAAAATCTTCACATCAATATAGCCATCAACAGAGGTCGTCTCAGCAACAACAGCAGCAACAGCATGTTCAACAGCAACATAATCAATCACATCGTCAATCAATGATCGATGATCGTTTGTCCAGTACCAATGAAGTGATATTCGATGATATAACCGAAAGTTGGCAGAGTAAGTGAAAAGTTTTTGTTGGTTTTTATGTACAAGCGGGGATGGGGAACTTTAACTTAAAATGTGTACTTCTTATATAAAAAAAACTTAAGTCGTGACCAAGTCGATGCCAAAATACAGACATTCGGGGGACAGTGGAGTGGTTTTTTATGGAATCTGTGGCAAATACCACCATTTTGATTAGTTTGTACTTAGAAGTACTTTTACAACTAGAAGTAGGGATTATATCACGACTAAGCGTTTTATGCAAGGAATTACCTTTATAAACCACAACTTCCAAATTATTATGAAGTCGGTTAAAATTGTTCTGGAAAGTGTGACCAAAACTCTAAAGGAAGCAAAAACGAAAGGATCATTTTACAGGGGGGTATTGCAATAAGTGAACCTCACTTTTGATGGTAACTTTTCCTAGAGTTTCCACCATAGTGTGTTAAAATTTATTTGCAATGAGTTTTCTTACCCCGCGAGGAATTATATTACAATTACCTGTGGTAGGAAATACAGAAAATCGGGGACGATGCTTAAAGATGGATCGATATAGCCCATTATCTAACCTAAAATTTTAGTTTTGTGTCACGAAAATAGGAAAGTGTGACCAGCTGGACCGATGTACCACAATTTTCAACCTGATAATTTAGTTTTGTATATCAATACCCTCCGAATGTAGTATTATTATAACAGATGAACGGAAAATGCTAAATTCATACATTGTAGAGTATAAACAAACAAATTCCGCCATAAATCTATTCAATATTTTAATACAAATAATTCAAAACGATGTTATGTTCGGCCCAGCCAAACTTTTTATACCTTCTATCATGAGGATGACATTAAAACTGTGTAAAGTTAATGGGAGCTCCTTAGAATAAATTCATTTTATCTTAGGTCCTTGATTACACTGAAAAAGATGCTATATCAAAACGTGGATCAATATTGATCATTTTGAGTAATGAAATTATTTTTAGTACAGGGATGTGGAGGTACCGTTATATGGAGGCTACAATCAAACTCGGTTCAATATCAATCAATATACCCTTCACCGCACTGTGGTACAGGTTATTATGCAGAATGCGAAGAATGATTAAATACGCTCTTTCTCACGGCGAGAATTCGAATGTTTTTCAATTTATCGCGAATGATAAAGTTACAATGATTGAACAAGCATTTGCATTCTCTCGCGAATGTTCGCATTGTACGATAAATTCACGAACGATAAAATTTCGCTGCAAGCGTTGTCGATTCGTTCTTTCGCGAGCATTTGTTGCTGAAGAACATTCTTTTGAAAAACTCAAAAAAGAAATATTCGCGAATGATCGAATGAATGATTCATTCGCGAGCGAATTTTTGCACACCCTGGTTTAACGTCTTTGAGCATATGTTTGTAACAGGAAAAAGGAATCGAGATAGACCCATGGTTCCTTTTGAGAATATGCATTGAATCTCTTTCTGAGTCGATACGCATGTCCGTCCGTCCATGTATTTTTGTGAATAAAGTACATGTCGCATTTATGATCCGATTTGGACTAAATGTGGCACAGTTCACTTATTTGGCCCAAGGACGAACTCTATTGAAAAAGTACAGGTCGCATTTATGATCCGATTTGGACTAAATGTGGCACAGTTCACTTATTTGGCCCATGGACGAACCCTTTTGAAATTGGAGAAAATCGGTTCAGATTAAGATATAGCTCCCATATATAGTTTCGTCCGATTTTATGTGAATGATGCACCAAACTCCCAATATGTGTCCGATTGCGACAAAAGTTTACACAGAGTACTAAATTAAGTCCAGACTGATGTCTGCGAAGTTTTGTTAAAATCGGTTCAGATTTAGATATAGCTACCATATATAGTTTCAGTCCGCTATACCTTAATGTGGATACGTATCGATTATTTTTGTAGAGATGGTGGGTATTTGGTGCTACGATATATGCCATCTGTAATTCATTAGAGGAGGATCGAGCTTGACTATTATGTCTGATGTCCAGTCTGCTTGATTTTTATGCCAACTTACCTAAATTTGGAAATTTCTTTTCAGCTATTTTTAAGCCTTGATATAGGGGAAATTTATTTATTCTGGATTGGGTTGTACACTGCCCTTTGATTTGGATAAACTACAAAGCTCAGCTATATTTTCCAATGTTGTTATTAATGCGTCCTCTTATAAAACACCGGATTCCACTCCCCAATTCACCTTAAAAGACAGCTCGATGATAATTGTGGATGTTCAGAAGTCAGTGGTAGTTATTATAACTGTGGGAAGATTATGAAATATTCTTAAATATCGCCATGACCTTTCTTTTCAAAATCCTAGGACATTTTCACAGCTCTTTATTTTGATAGTCAAATCCAGAAACCAAATTTTAGAAATTTACCACCTTATATTCCAACGATATTGAAGCATTTCAAACTAAATCAGTGGTACTGTATTTAATAAATGTTCTTTTAACATTTCCGTATGTCTGTATATCGAAATGCAGCAATTCTTACCGACATTACATACTCATATGCAGCAATTGTTCATTTCAACATTTTTTTCCATTTCTTCTGCTTGCCAAATTCTTCAAGTGAAATTTCTTACAAACCAAAAACATGTGACTTTAAATCTTTCATCCATTTTATACGTATCCTTGACCTTCATCCAGATATGTATCTATGTTTGGCCGTTGTCTACATGTAACATACTTTCATACATGACAATCCATTTTTGAAAATGCCAATATCCATATAATTCACATTATCACTATCGCCATCATCATCGTCATCTGTCTCTCTTCTTGCTTTGTGTCACTATCATATCTTTGCAATATTTCTTGAGACCGCAATCAGGACATGTTGCCACTGCAGCGAACAACAATCCTTTTTGTGCATGGCCAACACGTTTTCATTAAAAAGATATACGAATTGTGTGTATGTGTGTATAAATCCATGACGGTCACTGCGGGCACGTTTCGTACATTGTTTGCGACTTTAAATCTAAAGCCAAAAATCTGCGGGATATTCAAGGTGTTTGTCTGAGATAAACCTCTGGCATTGAATGTCATCATTTTCGTTTTTGTGTTTTGAATTGACAGCAAGCTACACATGCTGTGAATTGAACTAATGAACTAAAAGAGGGAGCGACAATATCGACGACATTAGAGAAATAATAATAAAGTAAGCTGGAATTGTATTATATATATATATATATATAAACAACTTAGCAAAGGATATTGTCGGGTAGAACTTAAAATGTGATATCATACAAACGTATCCCTTTATTAGAACATTCTTCAGAATCAAAACTCATCTTGGGACAAAAATGGGTTATTGAAGAATCATAACAAATGTCTTTGGGAAAAGTTTAGGATTTTGTATTTCAGAAATTTAAATTTATACGTATACGTTTTGGTATAGCCCCCATATAACGATAACAGCCAATATTCGGTATTTTGAGTCTATTGGGATCGTTTATCAACCTCATTGGCTGTCCCTTTGCATTTGGCGTTCTCATTGTGTAGAAAATCTTTCCCTAAAATTTGTTAATATTGGTCCAAGTTTCCGGTTAGCTCCCATATAAGGTTACTCCGAATTATTCGGTACATGCAGTGTTTGGGTACGTTTTAATAATAAAATGTGTGTTTAAATTGAATTTTCAGTTTCTCGTGGGGGTTTAAATCATTGACAATGACAAAATTAATAATAATATCCACACAATGGTTGAGGTAATAAAAATGCCGTCTACTACACACTGACAGCACGATTACCTAAATTGTAGATACTTCTGTTGGAAAATCCGACTAGAATCCTCAAACTATGGAAAATCGGGCGGTGCCATTAGAGGGATTTTGTAGTAAGGGACAAAATGGAGTTCTGTGTTTTCATTATATTTGTGCAGGGCAGTTACATCGAAATTGCTCACATACTTATGCTCTTCGATTACGAAGGTATGTCAGTGCTTTCGCTAATTTAAACTGATTAAAGTCGGTGGACGTTTGGAATAATCTTGCCACTTTTAAATGACCCCAGAGTTACAACGATACATCTGAGCCTTGATTTGGCGGTAGTTAATTTATCCTGGAGTGGAAGTAATTTGATTTTTCGGTTTCTCATTGGGTTTTAAAATTGTCAACGTTATCTTATAACTCCTATATAATGGCACCGACCCATTTTCGGTAGGAAGGCTTTAACCGCATTTTCCCTGCGATCTGACTGTAATTTGGTACATTTGGAATGTAATTTGTTACATACCTATATACTGGAAAAGATCAATAAAGGTCCATGATATGAAGTAGCCCCAATATAAAGGCAGCGCCCCTTATTAGTAATACATTGTCTATATTATACATATTGTCTATATTATCCAAGTTGTGATATAGCCCCGAAATTAAGGTCCCGCTCAATTTTCGGGAGTTTATATGTTTTATAGGTATTTTTCCATCGATATAGGCTCCTGCGTTGACATAGCCGAGGCAATTTCCTTTTTAGATAATTTTCTACATCAATCGATGTTTCGACATTGCCGCCCCATTTTCGGTATTATTCGCTTCATAGCGGATTTCATTAATCAATATAGGTTAATGTTTTAAAATAGCCCCTATAAAAATGTCCCGTTTAATTCGCCATTTAATTGCAACTCCATTTTGCAACTCCAACCCCAGTTTTCCTACTTGAGAACTAGAGCAATCTACTACCACATAATGCAACCAGTAAGGAAAGTAGTAAAGTCGGACTCGGCCGACTATATGATACCCTTCACCACTCTGGGTATATTCTGCATATGTATCCTTTGCCTTTTTGAAGGAATGTTGACATGAAATTGAACGAACTTATATATGTGATTTTTATAACTTTCGGGAACCTATGCTAAATTTTATTTCATTTGGGCAAGTTTAGAGTCGTTTACGCACAGTGGGACAGATTTGTGTAAATCGATTTAAAGCAAACTTGACACACGCTATTCGGTATGCTACACTGTTTAAAATTTAATCTCAATAAATAAGTCCAAATTATATATGGAA